GGGAGGTGTCGCTGGCGTCTCCGCAAGGTTGGGTTGAGGCTCCGTGTCGAATTCCGTGGTATCAGATACCGGCGAAGCGGTCGACCGCAAGTGCTCCGTCGTTTGAGGAGGGGGGACGACATCGGGAAAGCTTCCCGGAACTCCCAATGTCGGCGAGTCAGGGACTTTGGCGATGGTTACGGTCGAACTGATCTTATCGTCAGCCGTCGTACTGACTAGTCTTGATGGCACTGGCGTTTCGTTGAGAATATCTTCTTTGGCCTCGATGGGAGTCGTCTGCTCCGGTGTATGGGGCTCTTCAACGATGGTGTGCACAGTATCTCCCTTGAGTTGTTCTACACTCTCTAGTGTCTTCTTCCCCAGCGACTCCTCGGTTTCAGGAACCATGGATGCTTTGGTGGCGGCCTCGGCAGCGGCTTTGGCCTTTGCGGCCTCTTCCATTTCCTTTCGTCGCTTCTCCGCTGCTCTCTGCCGCGCTTCCAAGGCCTGGCTCTCCTTCAGAGACTTGCTGTATGCGAGTCGGATATGTTCACGGCGCTGCTCGAAATCGATGGGCCCGACCGAGATCTTGCGCCTTCTCGCCGAAGGATCTACAGGCTTCGAATGCATCAGTGCTACAGATGCACTGACAGACCTCTGCTTTTCTACAGATTTTAATCGGGAGCTGGCTGTTGTTGCGACGGATACTGGCTGCCGTGGCCGAGAACTTCTCAAGGGCGGCGAGAGCTTTGGTTGAGGTATGGCATATGCCTGGAGCCGGCCGTTGCTGTTGGACGCAGGAAGCCCGGTTGAAGATGTTTGGAGTCTAGTGCCGGACTGTATAGGAGTTCTAGCCCTGGATGTTGGAGTTTTGGCACGAGTGGTAGGAGTAGTGGCTCTTGATGTCCTACCCTCTCCTGGTTGCCGCTTGAGGGCTATCGGCGAGCTGGAGCGAGTCGATGAGGGACTGGATGAGTCGTCAGGGCCATTAATCTTCCGTACTGATCGAGGCAATTTGGATGATGAGGGCGGTAGCCTTGGGTCGGGTGAGTTTGGTTTTCGCGTCGCTGGTTTGCGGGCTATGCGTTGGGGAGGGGGTTTGCGGGTCGATGCATCGCTATGGGATCGTGAGGACCTGGTGGTAGGAGCCGACACAGACGGAGGCTTCGTCTCTGTATTTCCAGCAGCGTTGGACCAACTGCCTGGGGACGGTAGGTCGACGTCGGGGTCAGAGAGGCTTCGTTGATGTGTCCATTGGCCATTGGTACGGGACTCTGTCGCTTCAGGTTGCCGCAGGCTCTCGATACCAAAACCCAGTGCTGAGGTGTCGTACTGCTCCGGCAAGATCTCGCCGAAGAGTAGACCCTGTGAGTGGATTGTATTTGACGAGGTCGGTGGCAGGGACTGTTGTGGTGAGGTGGTGCTGGGTGACGGATGCGTCATTGATGGCGACGATTTTGGGTTTCCGCTAGTAGCGCTTCGGGGCTTGGCTAGGCGGCTCGCAAACGACTGTGAGTTATTCGATACCTGATCCTCGGCCATGAATTTCGGTCTCTGGGTATGTGGAGAGGTCGCAGAAGGCTTTGGATTCGCGGAAGCCTCCGAGGCAATTCCACTTCGAACGGCCGAGTACGAGGGCGAGGACGGTTGCTGCCGCTTGACACGAGACGGGACCACGTTCGGGCGTGGTGCACGCGGGATGGAGGTGCTGCCGCCATTCTGCTGATCAAACCGCTTCTTCAGGTCCTTGACGCTTGGTTTGCCAGAGGGCATCCGGGGCCCGCCCATGCTGTCGACTGGATTCGAGACGGATCGAAGGTTGCTGGGTCTTGGAATGGTGAGAGCGGAAGCAGCGGGGGCGGCATGGTTCTGTGATCCGCCATCGCCATTGGGATGCACCGGCGGCGGCGAGCGAATCGAGGCCGAAGCCATGGCGAGGGCGTCGGCGGGATGGAAGTGGCTGTTGTCGTGGTGGTGGTGGACTCGGTAGGTGCTGTAGAAATCATCGGGGTTTACGGGCGAGAAGACGGCATGTTGATCGTCTGAGCCAGCCGTCTGATGCTCGTGGACCAGAGCGGTCCGAGAATTCTGCTGGGCGGCGAGATAGTTGAAGGAGAGCAGATCGTGGTGGTGGTGAGTCTGCAGCTCAGGGAGTCGGTGCAGATGCTGGGCGTCCTGGTCGCGGCGTTGAGCTGTTTCGACATGGACATGGTCAATGTTGGAGGCTTGCCCTTGCAGGCCAGCAGCGTCCAAATCGCTGTCCATGGCGGACAGGCCACTATTGCACGCACTTTAGAAGCATCCGTTAGGCTCGTTAGGTGGGAGCGACCGAGAATGTGGGCATTGATCGATGCGTTGGCGGGTTGGGATGCCCAATATCAGCGAGGGTGTTGATTGGAGCCAGTGCCGTGCACCACAAAATACATTGATACGCAGAACGGTCCTCCTCTCACTTGGACCTCAAATGGTGGCACCCACAATGCGCGGCACCTAGGAGGCAGGATGGCAGGCTACGGCTCCAGAAGGTGTGGTGCCTGAGTCCTAGCTTGGCCAACACGGCTCGCTGGCAGCGCTTCATCGGCGCAGCCCTGGACTTGGCTTGTGCTAGGCAGAGGGACCGCGCACTGCAAAGGTTCTGGTTTGTCCAGGGGGACCCAGGGGCACCGGGCTAGGAGTGGGGCTGGCCGCCGAGAGGACGGGTCCAAGGGCTGGGTAGCGTGTACCTCAGCCGTCGACGGGGAGGGTGCTGGGGTTGGTTCGCCCACGCTTGCCGCCAGGTACCAGATACCATGCCCGCTCCTAGAGATGGGCAGAAAACAGTTCTCAGTGGCTACAGCCCCCCGAAGCAGCTGCTAGCGTGTCGCTGGGAGCCAATCCTGTCCCGGAGACTGACAGCGCCACGAATGGGGCCCGTTGCGAAGGGACTTGGGCTTCGCGATGCATGAACAAAGACATGCTAATTTCTAATCGTATTGTCATCCGTACATGTATCCCGCTTTCTTCAAGGGCTTCGTCTTCTCGATGATGATATATCGGCCATAGTCAAGCAGTCAGATCTTCAGCTGGGGGCTCAACTTCCTGTCCCCGTCGGCTTCCCTTTTCTTGCTTTTCCCCCCCTCTTTGCTTTTTGGACCCCTTCCTCCCTCCCACCTGATTGATTGTCGCTCGACCTGCGACAAAAAAGGGCGCTTGGATTGCACCAGGCACTCCATGGCAGACCAAAGGGATCGTGTCCCCCCATCTTGATATCTATTGGTCCGCGTCCTCCCCCAACTCGCTCGCCTGCAGCACTGCGATACAGGCGAAAGACGGGATGGGTGGGTTACGATGTAGTTGGTCGTTGAGTGGACATCAACGGTAAGACATGTCGACCCGTCCACACACACGCATCTTCCCGCCATTGGTTGGCAATCTGGTTGGAATCCAGGACCAGATCCAATCGAGGCCAAAGACCCCTGGCGGCTTGATCATCTAAGTTTGGGGGGGGGAAGGGGGGGCACAGACTGCTGAGACTGAACTGGCCATGGCCAGACCTGCATATTAAATGTCGTCCCACGAATGCAGGACTACCTCCCGCGTGTGGCATATACATGTGGTATTCATGCTCTAGCTGCGCGGCTTATGCACCAACCATCCGCCTTGACCGACTAGGCAGGCACCAAGCGCAGCCTTCTCTGGATGGAAGCTATCCGTCGCCGATTATGTTTGAGCTATGATGAGCTATTCCCACCAGACTTCTCTGCGTAGGCTGGCGAGCAGTGACAACTTGTGGCAACGAATCAAGATTGCTTGCGGGGTGGGCAGAACCTTATTATTCCAAGTCGTACCGGCTCCTTCAGGCTGGCGGCGCCTTCGCTCTCTGTACATACCGTACCGTGCCTCTTTCAGGGTCGAGACGACGGGGCTACACTTATATCTGCCGTCAGCAGCACCAAGTTTTAGTGCCGCCTGAGGCTTGTTAGGCTGTGTGGCTGAAACTGGTCTCCTTCTGTGGCCAATTCCATTCCCTAGGTCGGCCCTATGTGATGTGAACGAGTTCCAAAGAAAAACATGGAAATTGAAATGAGAATGCTACTTTTTGCAGCCAACATCGGCAATAGGCCCCGTCGTTTGCGAATATCCGGCTCGCCTGTCCGCGTCGAGAGAGAACGCAACCACACCAGGGACGTGCGACAACTGGTCGGCCGGTAGCGTCGGTCCTCGTCCTGCCCCTGCTGATGTCACATGCCCAAAAGGTTACGAGCAGCCCTGCTCGCGCGACAGCTCCAGCCCCCAGGATCACCAGATTTGGTGGGTGACTTCGGAAATAGGAAGCCAGCCTAATAGCAAGCCAATAAACGACACGAGCTAAAGTAGTTTAAGATTGTTGGGTGTTCCTAGGTGAATAAAGATATCCATGGATACATATGCCCGATATGTTGATGGCACTATTGTGTATTGTGCAATTCCGCGCCGTCACAACAATCTCTCGCCCAAGGTCGTAGTGGCCCTGACGGCTGTAGTTCTTCCGCCAATATCACGAACAGTAGTATGACCCAACCAGTCCGAAGTACCCGCCTGCCAATCTGACAGCGTTGTACGTAGTCAGTGCCGGGGAAGCATCCGACTTTGACAATGTCGCGCATCTGAAATGAGGTCGTGCCATATATGGACCGTTTCACTCGTACATGATTAATTTGAGTCGAGCGACTCTGCTCGTCCGGGCAATTAGCTCCTGCACCGGCGCTGTTCCCTCGCCGTTCCTACCGTATGTCCCTACTGTATATCCCTTGGCCTGGGCCGTGGAATGGGCCAAGTGCCAGGCTGGGAGCAACAGCTGGCTCCTTGTTTGTGCCTACCCAACTACCACCCACCAGTAACCGAATTGGAACGCGTCCAGCCTGAGCGCGTCTTTGCCTTATCCGTTTATTTTACCATGACGCAATTGACCGCTAACAATATTACCCGCTTCCGTCCAAAGCCTGATCATCACCCAATTACCTACCACCACCTGCTTCATCCATCCATTTCCCCTGCTGATTATGACGCGTAGAGCTAAACGCAAACGCGACAGCCAGAAACCTGATGCGGACCAAGATGTCCCGCAGAATAACTCTTCGCTGGTTACTCGGAAGCTCCTCGAGCGCTGTTTCCCACATGTCCAGACGCTAAGGGAGCATCTCCTATCCAAGTTACCAAGTGCCTCAAGATTGCGGAGGAAGAAAATCACAGCCCTCACAGCCCGTGATGCATCAAGCGAACTAGAAGGTCGTGTAGCGGCTCTGCTTGACACAGCCCTTGTATGCAGTCGATTGCCACAAGCACAGAAATCTGAGACTAGTGATATTCGCTGGGAGCAATGGAAGAGCTTCTCCCAGAAAGGGGATGAGTCCTATGTATCCATCTCTGATACTCGTAGTGCGAAGCAGAGCCAAACTGAGGTTCGCTCCTTCTTCCTCTCCTGAGATATAGTGAGGTGCTAGGCCCTGACACACCCAATCCCACCTTAGATTCTCGAATTTGTCGTCTGGCTGCTTTTTAATAGAGAGAAGACCACAAACACGCAGCCATGCCATGTCCTATGTAACGGGTTTGACGTAAAACCAGGAAATGGGGATAAGGGAACAACCTCGATTCCTGGCGTTTACTGCCGATTCCCAAGTTCAAGCTTCGACGCTCTCAAAGAGGCACCTTGGCCTCAAGTTCTTGCCCTTCTCGGCCAGTCCGGCGAACGACTCATGATAGATCTTCTTCTCGATTACTCCCTTTTTGTCGCTGTTGATGCTGGTCATGGGAACTTTTACCAGTTGAGTGGTAGGCATCATTGGTTGAAGGACTTGTGAATTGGCAAGACTTTCTGACTGACAGAGAGCAGGCGTTCCACTCTTCATGTCCTCTCTCCCTGTCGACAGTCAACCTGCAACTGTAGCGGATGCCAAACCATTCTGTCGTAAACCGGGAGAGATAACTCTTATGAGAAACAAAACGTTGTATGCGAAACCCTCACTGACTGCCGCGGGCACGGTCCAAGCAGGATTTAGACATATACGTATGAATTCCAGCCCTACAAATCCCAAGCCCTTGATTATGCCACTAACACCTGCAGATGTTCTGAACCGCTGCCCATACGTTAAACCAGAGGGTGACGAGCCGTCGCCAGACGAGAGAGAGCAGAACGAAGCCAACACGACCAAGGTTATGATGTACATGTTTCCCCGCCAGTTCGGATTGCACAATGCGTTCACATCTGAAGTGGACAAGACTCGTACTACGATGAAGTTTCAGGACTATACATACAGGGAAGATGAGATCAACGAAGCCATTGCCTTGCGCTCCAATTCATCCGAGAAGAAGAAACCCCCAAAGTTGCCCAAGCGGTTGAAAGGGATTGCCAGAGATTTGGTTTTGAATCTCCAGGTTCGCCACAGTCGCTGTGCCTACTTTGAGCTTCTTCGATACTACTGTCCTTCGGCTTGGGACACGCACCGCCCACCTCAAGATCTCGCGACTCAAGCCTCGTTCAAGGCACCCAAACAACAGGGGGACGGCCCGAATATTGATGGTGCCGCAATTCAAGGCACCTCACGGCCAAAGAGAGTCGGACACAAGACACATTCGCAGCCATGCCATTCCGACATGCCCTCATACAACACCCTCGTAGAGCTCGCATGTCCCATTGGTAATGTCTCAGCATACTGCCAAGCCGTGCTAGCGAAAATCGTCCCGGACAGGTTTTGGGGAGAGGGTGACACAATGGTGCATAACAAGAGGATGTTTCGATCAAAAGTGGACCATTTCATTAGACTGAGACGATTCGAGGTCATGTCACTGCATGAGGTTGTGCAGGACCTGAAGGCGAGTTTGACCACAATCAGAATCACCGAGAACAGACTCTCTGACCTGACCGTGTTTAGGTGGTAGACATCCCCTGGCTGCGCCCGCCTGACCTCGCTGGCCAGAAGACCAGCCAGACAGATATTTCGAAGCGATACGAGCTATTCCACGAGTTTCTCTACTATGTTTTTGACTCACTTCTCATCCCCCTTGTCAGAAACAACTTTTACGTGACGGAATCGAACATCCATCGGAACCGGCTCTTCTACTTCCGCCATGACGTTTGGAGGCGTATCACAGAGCCTGCCATGGCGAAGCTAAAAGAAAATATGCTCGAACCTCTCAGATTGGTTGACGCCACACGGATACTGGACTCCCGACGGCTGGGATTCAGCCAGCTCCGATTATTGCCAAAGACGCTAGATCTGAGACCCATCATGAACCTTGGTAAAAAGATGCCAGGAAGAGGCCGATCCAAAGCGTTTGGGACAAGCATAAACTGGGAACTAAAACCAATCCACCACATGCTAAACGCAGAGAAGGTGAGTCAATTATCATGTCCCCGTGTAGATCTACGATGGACTGGAGAATGCGTGGACTTTGTTACTGATTTGGGCAAACCAGGCCATGAACGCGTCCAAGTTGGGATCATCAATGCTCTCTACCGGGGAGATATATAGCCGCCTGAAAGAATTCAAGCTGGCACTTGGAAGCGCGGCAAGCTCCCAGCGCTTCTACTTTGCCAAGATTGATGTCCATGCCGCGTTTGACACGATTCCACAAGAAGCAGTGATCAAACTGATGAATTCTGTCCCCAGCAGGGGGCATTACACCGTTGTTAAACATGTTGAAATGATGCCGGATCCTCGGACGGACCCAGCCTCTAGCAAGGAGACAAGCAAATCACTACGAACGTGGCACTTTTCTGCCCTGAAAAAGGGCGAGCCCTTCTCATTGCCTGAGCGCCTAGAGAGAAGCATCAGTGAGAAGAAGATCAACACGGTGTTTGTCGAGGGGAATCCTGCAAGAACGTACCACACAGCAGGGCTCCTCAAACTCCTCGAGGAGCATGTCTCGCAGAACATTGTCAAGGTGGGCAAGAGATTCTACCGCCAAAAGCGCGGGATTCCTCAGGGATCGGTTGTATCTTCATTCCTCTGTAATTACTTTTATGCAGATCTCGAAGCACAGCACCTTCACTTCCTAAACGGCCCGGGCAGTATCTTGCTACGATTCATGGATGACTTCCTCTTCATCACGCAGGACAAGAAGAAAGCGGTCCAGTTTGTCGAGACGATGCACCGGGGTGTGCCAGAGTACGGTGTTGAGGTGAACACCAAGAAGACGTTGCTGAATTTCAATATGAAGTCCCAAGATGGGCCCCTATCAACAATCTCTCACGGTGAGAAATTCCCGTACTGTGGGACTCTTATTGATTGCCAGACACTGGAGATCAGTCGAAATCATAACAAAGACCCCGATAATGGTGAGTTCTCTTATAAAAACGGCGCTTTACTAGGATATCCAATTGACCTGCTGAGCATTAGGAATCGCAAACTCCTTGACTGTGGAGTTTGGCCGGCTCCCCGGGCAAAATTTTGAGAAGAAGATGCTCCGTAAGTTTTGAATACGAATGTTCCAAGCCGTCTTACTGACAACCCTACAAAGATGCCTTTAGGATCCAGTCAAAGCCCATGTATTATGATACTTCGCACAACTCAACGGCCACCGTTCTTGACTCTCTTTCTGGGGCTTTCTACGAGACCGCCCAGAAGATGTCGGCGTATATTCATTGCCTACCCAAAAGCAAGAGACCTAGCAAGCCCTTGATCATCCGTACGATATGTTCAACCCAAACCTACTGTTCACATCGGTTCTAATGCGCATTGTAGGTTCAATCATCAAGATGGTCGATGTCGCCTTTTCGCTCTTGACCGGAAAGTCGAGAAGAATGCGACTCGAGGGATACTCTTGCGATTTGAGAAAGGGACAAGTGTTCCGGTATGTGCTCCAGCTTCTTTTCTCTTCTCGCATTCAACCCCCGTCTAATTTATTGGAACTCTAGGACTGGGTATCGAGCATTCATCGAGGTGCTCAGCAAGAGGCAGACGGCCTACGGAGATGTCATCAGCTGGTTAAAGAAGGAGGTTGAGAGGATCAACTCTACAGGGAGAAGTGGTGGCTCCAGTGCTAAACTGGAAAAGAGTCTCTGTACTTGACACTATGAAAATGATGTGTATCCAAAAACAAAAAATGTCTATTGGGCATAATTCTATAACTTATACCGGCCACATGTCCCAAATCGATGCCAACGCAACTCCTCGCTGTCCGTGCCAAGTGCAACCCTATATCCTGATACCGCTCTGCCACCAGTTGGGCGCGGTGTACCACCGGGGCCAATGGTGTTCATCCCAGCGCCACCAGTGGTCGGTCGGGTACCCGTATCCGAAAGCTCTAAAGAGCGAGATGGGGACCGGCTCCAGCAGCCAGATCCCCGTGCTGGCGAAGTCGTCCGACAGAAATACGGCGGTACAGCAAAGCCACGCGAAGGTGAAGAGCATGTTGGACACTTGGCCGACTCTCCGGTAGCGAAGGATACTCGTCGGGGGCAGGTATCTCCTCGAGGCGAGCGACAGGCAGGACTGCAAGGCGATGCCGGCGACCTGCAAGAGGAAGAAGGCGGGGGGACGCCACAGCTTGGTGCGGGGGATGCAGGTCACGCTGCCAAAGGCGTGGAACAGGCCGGACTGCAGGAAGGAGGTGGTCAGAGTGATGAGGATGCCCGGGATGGAGTCTCGGCTGACGAAGCCCTGCCGGACCAGCCAGCGAGCAGGCGCGGCGAATTGGGATCTGAAGAGCTGGTGCCAGTACTGACCCCACCAGCCTGCGAGGCCGCGCTCGAGCACGTTCGTGAAGGAGCCAAAGGTGGAAGGGTTCATCCAGAGTTCGCCGCGCATGGGCCAGAGACGGCTTACGAGGAAGTACTGGACGAGGTCGTTGAGGTTGAAGATTCCGGATATGGCGGTCAGGATGCCGAGGAGGCAGAAGACTTCGCGGTAGAGGTAGAGAATCCAGGGGGAGAGGCCGGCGAGATGGGGAGGTAAGGGGTAATTGGCAGCCTGGTCTGGCCCCAGGATGAAGTATGGGTCTTTCATCATGAAGACGGCGAGAAAGTCAAGGGCGAGGTACATGATGCCTACTGTCTTGAGACGGTCCCAGACGAATTCTGAGTGAGAGAGGCAGCGACGATAACCAGCCTCGGTGACGATAGGTATGGAATCTAGATCGAATGGTGTGGTGGGAAGAGATTCGCCAGTTATGGAACCATGATCGAGTTTTGGCCGTGGTAGGGCAGATATGGACCAGTTCCAGCCTGGAGAACGTTAGCAAAACGAGAGAAGTGTTTGCGGCGGGGGAAGTTGAAAAGGGAAGAGTTTAATAGATTTTAAATCTGGGACGGGGCCAAGCAGTACCTGTGAATCGGAAATTGGTTATTGCGTCAAGACTCCATCCGAGCCTCTTGCCAAAGGAAGCATGAGCTGGGAACGGCTCCCATGTATATTCGCCTTCGCGCTTGGTGGCTGGAGATTGTCCATTGGGAGAGAATTGGTTAGAGCCTTCTCGGTGAGGCTTGCGATGATGGGCGCCGTTTTCACGTTGCGATGGACTCGAGTCGTCCTTGACGGCAGAGCTATGTCCGTTTTGAAGGGTCGTTGCAGGAGCTGGAGGGGCGTTGTTGGACCGTCTCACAGCCCTGGCCGCATATAACTGTGGCTTCCTGAAGACCAGCAGAGCCAGTGTCGACATGATTCCCCAGTTGGCCAGCAGCCCGGCAGCATATGCGGCTGCCAGATTGGTGCTTGATGTGCCGCGAAGAATGTCGAGGTCAAAGAAGACGGCGAGCCCGACGACGAACCAGGTGGCGAGTTTCATCCATCTTGACTCGGAATGAGGTATGGCGAGCCACACGGCGGGTATGATCAAGGGCCCGAGAAGGGTGTAGGGGACGACGAGGACTCGGGCCTGGCCTTGGGCGACAGCCTGGGTGAAGGCTGCGCGGTACTGAGCGCGGACAACATCGCCCAGGTGCTCAATTGGCACGGCGGAGATGTTGCTGGGTAGCAGTACATGCATCTTGGCTTGATTTTTGTCTCTCTGTGCGTATCTGGCCTGAGATGCTGCAACAGGGGGTTGCTGCCTCGAGGAGCAGACGTTGGATCAGTGGACAGCGGGGGTCTGGCTCTCTGGGCTCCCTGCCTCTCTTATCTGGCGGTAGGGCAGGAGCCAAAAACTGTTGCATGGCCAGCACACAGAGTATGCATGACACTAAGAAGTGAACCGCAGTGGGTGACGGTGATATTATAGTGTGAGCACAGCGCAGCGCAGTGAGACAGTCAAGTCAGTTGTGGTGGTTAAAATTGGTGGCGGCTGACCCAAGTCTACATAAACGCCTGCAGCAGAGTCTTGGTCTTGGCCCCAGCAGGACAAATAACAGGCAGTGGTCGCTGGGTGAGGTCTGCGACGTGAATCAGGGCAATTTTTAGGAGGATGATAATGGCGACTTCTCATAACGTGACGTCAAAGACCCCGGAGCAACTGACCAGGTAGAAACTAGGGGTCTCTGAACAAAACAGGGGCTGTGGCCATAGCTTAATGATTCATTGTGGATTTGGCTGTTGGTTTGCCTATCCGTTTGGAATAAATATCCGACCTACGCCCAGGACTATTCTGTCCATCTGGCCGGGGAGCTAATAGGTACCTAGTCTTAAACGGCCATTCTGGGTGCCGACATCATGCCCACATTTTATACAAGTACCTATATCGCCCTATCCATCTTGCTACCTACACATGCACACCTGGATATCACCCAGTGTGCGGGACTCCTTCTTTAATTCATCTCTCTGCTTCGTGCTAGCATAAAATCCCCAGCGTGATTTGCATGCAACATCAAGGGCCAAATCGTGCATATGCCTCTTGGGTGTGCGGGTGATCGGCACCACCCCTGGTCTGGTGACACCCTCTCCAAACGAAGCACACCTGGCAGACTCGCAAACTCACATGGCGATCTCTGGATAAGTTCATACATCTCCTGACACAGGCCAAGGCATAAATTTATAGCTTTTTTTGGGGTGTGCCTGTGTGTAGACGAAATGTGCTGGCATGTGCCTTGTGATTGAGCCGTGCAAGCAAGAGATTTGACCGTTTGCATAGTATAGCTTTTGATCAGTATAGGGCCAAGAAGAAAAAAAAAAAGGCTTGCAGAAATGGTGATTTGATTCTTTAGTAGATAGGCCGGCAGTTTCAGCAATGTTTGAGTGCTGGAAGGGGCCTGTTTATTAATCGACGGTTCTTGTAGCGAGGAAACTTTATCCAAATATGCATAACGCTTGTCCGACTATCATTACTGGTGGTCGATAGGTACAAATTATGTAGGTATAATCGCGGCTGTATGAACGTTGGGAGGATAAACTCAATCACTCGAATGTACAGTTAGCTACAACATATTCTTGGTGATGGCCTACAGGGTAAATCACGACACAAGAACGTAGCAAGTTATGCGATACAAAATGAACGAAGAGGCGAAGAATGGCAAGAGACGAGTGAATGTTCACGAGAGCAGAGGGCAAGTTTCAGCAGTGACTGCGCAGAAACTGGATTGAGGTTAGACACGGCATCGCTCTAATAAGGCTATCTCATGGAGGCTGTCCTTTGGGTCCTGTGAACTGGCTGGAGGTGCAGAGACAACACGGCCTAGTAGTGAGTAGACTGTATCAGAGGTGTAAGAAGAAAAGAAATAAAAAAGAAAGCGAGTTGCAGCTGGTTTCGAACGCCGGGATTTGCACCCGGGCTATGATGTACGAGTTAGTATTGAAGTGACCGATTTGGATATCTGCAGCACTTACTCTCTCCCTTGGGAGGGGAGCAGGTTAACTTCTACCCCACGTCCGAGTTACCTCTGCTCATTTAATTGTCCCTTAAGTAGGTAGGCAGTGATTGTCTGACAGGAAATAGAGATGGAAGACTGGCAATGGCCAAGCTGCGTACGGCTGTGTAGGATGCCTGCGGTGGCTGCATTAGCCTGTCAGGACGTCTGTGGGCAGCCGTGAGTGTGTGTGGCGGCTGCATGATAAGCGAATGAACAGCTAGAATCCATATGATTTATGGGTCAAAGCCCAACAATGATTGCCAAGCTGTAGGTATCCGTGTCGAGCTTCCTTCGACCTGGCTATCGCGCAGCCTCTCAGCCAGGATGTCCGTGCCAGTGTAAGACGGCCGGTTTCACCTCATCGGCTGTATGCTGTTATCCTCCGACCGAAAATGCAAAGACAAATGCTCTGCAACACCCATCAGACCATAGTCCTACCAGGAGGCCCTCCTCGACCGATATATTGGAGGGCCACCTGCCTAATGACACCCTCCCAACCAACTCGTGGGTGTTGATTGTTGGGCCATTGCCCTGCGGCAAGGGAAGATAGTCATCAATGTCCCAATTTCCAGAATAAGCCGACTGCGATGCCATCTCTTTCAATTTCTGGAGGGCGATGTTTGGTTCTCTCTTGCTTTGCCTAGCACATGGTAGTCCATTTCAGCATGGCTCGTGCCCGATTCTCTCATGTATACAAGTTTCCCGCATATAGCCTATACTACCATGTTCATCTAGATTTGCGACAATATAGATCAATGGAGAAACGGTTCGCCGTAGGTTATGTAGACTGAACATGTCAATAGAAGACGCTGGGAAGGACGGCATTCAAGCTACACTCTGGGAAGAGTACGATAAAAACATCAGGTTAGGTATTTTGGTGGGATTACTCGACAAAGCAATTCGGAAGAGAATCCTCGAGAGATGTTGCACCTCAGAACCCACACGGCTAGTTGCTCGCTGTGAGATGAATTGATGGCCGTGGTGAACTAAGCGAGGCTGTCGGTTGGGTACATGATACATGATCACCGCCCAGTGCCGTGCCCGATCGGCTGTCGCTAGGCATCCATTCGTTTCTCAGGATCAGTCCATGTGGACCGACCACCTTGATGTCCAGGGTCGACCAGGGACTGTCTGGGGATACGTGCGTCTTCACGCTCCCAAGCAGGGAAACTTGCTCAGTCGCAGGACATGGCAGACACACTTTTGGCCAGACCTGAGTTGGATAGTTGAACTAAGAACAGGGCAAGGAAGGAGTGGCGGCCTCACAGACCATTAATAATCACCACGCCCGCACAGAAGGCACGGTGGATCTTACTTTCCTTCTCTGTTTCCCCCATGTATTAATTAATTATCCTGTGTTCAAAGCGTCAATCAATTTGACCCTCATCATTACACTGCATATCCTATAGGGTATTACTCATCCACAGACTGGCGTTGGCGCCCTGCTCTCTTAGTAACCGGTAGGTGGGCAATCAACAGCGCCGTTCTGCCACTCTGGAAGCGCCCTGCGGACCCAGATTTATCCCTCCGAGTCCTCGGCGTTGGCAGCAATTGAGCCCAATTCCGCTGACGCTTCATCTCACCGCACAACTTGCCCACCTGTTCTCGTCAACCCCAAGTACCAAATGGCTCCCAACGACTCTCAAGCAAAGCCCGCCGGCCCCGCGGTCGAGAAACACCGGGCTTGCGATGCATGCCGTAAGTTCCGTTCCGTCTTGGTCCTATTACACTGCACCCCTCCGCCATATCCCACAGGCCCCCACCGCCTCCCCCGTGCGTGCTTGCTCGGAGACTTATTCACAACTTTCTTTTTAGGAAACCGGAAGCTCGCCTGCACTAAGGAGCCTGATGGATGCTCTAGATGTCGCCGAGAGGGTATTACCTGCCACTACTCACCGCAAAAGCCTATGGGAAGGCCTCGCAAGCGGCGCATCGTCGAGGACCAGCCCCAGCAGGACGAAGAGCCTGCTGTTGTTGCCGTCGGCCGTTCAACTGTTGAACCTGCTGAGCCAGCCACCAGCAACATTCCTAGCATCAACGGTCATGGCGGTGATCTGTCACTACCTCTCTTTACTGACCCAACTTTGGATTTCGATCATAACCCATCAAGTAGCCTCGATTTTCTTGACCTGCTTCCTCCCTCTTCGTATCAAGATGAGCTGCCCCTGGACCCTCACATCTTAATACCCAACGATGGCCAACTGGATAGCATTGGAATCCCTTTGAGCTTGAATGGTGTCGACTTGCTTGAGAGTATCAACTTTGACGAACCCGACACCGCCGTCGCTGACATGTCCAAAGACATCAGCGACTCCCTTCAGCGATACTGGCATGCGCAGCAGCAACAGCAGCATCTCGAGCCCGCAGAGTCACAGAGCTTGTCTAGCAACCAGTCGCAGAGCACTGATTCCCCTGAATCACAACCTGAAGCACAGTCTGAGGCTCAGCCAGCACTACCGCCGCTGTCTTCCTCGACGGAGCCGTGCCCGAAGCCTATGCCCTCGATTGCTTGTGGCTGCCTCTCTTCTCTCTATCTTGCTCTTGACTCTCTTTCTCGCCTCCCCCAGGACATCAATACTGCCATGCGTGTTGCCCGTAACGCTACCAAGACCGCACACAACGTCATCAATTGCGCCTTCTGCTCAGATCCCGATATCTCGCAACCCCCTCCGATTCAAAGCTTCCAGAGCCTAATGTTTCTTGCTGCTCTTGTCCCATCCGCCTGCAACGCTTACGCTTCAATCCTTCAGATGATTGACCGTGAATCCAAGGAGGCTAAAAAGGAGAACCGCACCTTCTGGTTTAGTTTTGAGGATATCGGAGGCGTCTGGTGTGGCTCCTCCGAGTTCACCTTCCAGTGTCCCGAGATGCAAGACTACAACAACAGCAACATGGAGCCAGATCTGTGGCGCACCACAATGCGAGCAATCCTTCGTCTAGATGTGTACGGGTTAAGTGAAGCGCCGGATGGATTACATGGCTTTCAAGTGCTGGGCCTTAGAGACGTTGTGAAATCGATGGAGGAGCGCAGCCATAGGAGGCACGCCATTATGGACGAAATGGCAGAGTCAGGTTCATTGCCGAAGCACGAAGGCTTCCTACTCCACCACGGCGAATACAAATCTGTACCCGTGGAAGAGCGGAACTGCATCAAGGTCCTGGAAGCGGCGAGGATAGCGCTTGATCATCTTGTGATTGCATAGGGTCAACATCTTCAGTGGCGGTGCAGCTCGTGTCCTGCCCACCCCCTCTTCTCCCTCCTTTTTTATTTTATTTTTATTTTTGTATGTTGATACCCTGGGAACCTACCTTCCGATATAAGGGAAGTCCTCTTTCTCAGAATAGGGGAAACAAACACCCCATGGCGTTACGAGTATTGGATGCATGAGTTGTTTGACGTAACGGGCCAAGCGACCCTCCAAATGACTTGGCTGGGTGCTATTTGATTTTCAGTATATGGTTTCAACACATTGTGATGATGGAGAGCAAATAGTTGGGAAACCCCCCGGAGTTAGAGAAAACGCTGATAGGCTCAATTCGAATATCGAGATGTATACATGATTCTCACACACAATTTCGCCCTCCCAGATGTGACCTGTTCGATGATATCCAAGCTGTGAAACAAAACCAATCCCAACGCAACCAGTTGACTTTCATGATGCATGCAGCCTTTGCCCAGTACAAGTGAATTCCAACCTGCCCAACGCCAATTCTCCTGAACCATGCCAATGGAATCCCCGTGTCCCATGTGTACCGTCATGACATTGCGATAGATGAAAACATTATAGCCAAACAATACAGGTGAGAGAGTTCGAGTATAAAGTTTATAAAACAGCAAATAAAAGATGCCAGACCCGACATCTCAACAATGGAATAATAGGTAGCCAAAACAATGCCTCTTGATATTAGTAATTAATGGAGGTCCTCCTCGACCATGCCGAGCACGTCGAGCTCCGTCTTGACGAGCTGCTCAAACTCCTCGCGCTCGATGCCCGAGGCGCGGGAGAGCAAAAAGAGGCTGCGGATGCTCCTGGAGATGTGCTGCTTGACGCCGAAGTCGCTCTGGTCCTTGCGGCCGGCCTCCTCCTCGAGCTTCTCGATGATCTGCGAGCTGCGGGAGCTGGCGCTCGACTCGGGGCGGGGGTGGAGGAGGCCCTCGTGGTTGAGGTCCGAGAGGGACCGCTCGCGGGTGGCGGCGGTGGCGGTGGCGGCGGCGGCGTTGTTTTTGTTCTGGGGATCGAGACCTAGGGCTGGGGGCATCAGGTGCGCCTGCTCGGCCTCCTCGTCCGGGTCGTGGTTGTCCATTGCGGGCTGGACGTCGTTGTAGCGCGAGAAGTAGGCGTCGTCGTCGGCGGAGGCGGTGCTGGCGGGGACGTTGTATCCTCCGACCGGGCCGCCAGAGGCCTGGGGCCCGGGGGAGTGTGTCTGGGCCGGCGTCCGCGCCGGGGAGTTGTCGTAGCGGGCCCAGTAGTCATCATCGTCCTCCTCCTCTCCCTCGGCGGGGATGTTCGTAGCGGTCAGGTGGCCGCCGTTGGAAGGGTGTCCGTTCGTGACGGAGAGGGAGCTCTTCTGCTGCTGCTTGGTCTTGCTCTCGAAGGCCTGCTCCGCGGCTGCGAGGTCGGGCGAGGCGCCGTCAAAGCTCTCAAAGGGGTTGGCCTTTTCGGCGACGGTGACCTCACCCACGCGCCAGCCGTCGGCTGCTCCCTCCTTGTCCTCAATGCAGTGGACCAGCCTGAAGGCGAGGCCGAGCTCCTTCAGGACGACAAAGGCTTGTAGGGTCTCGGCGTCGAGTCGGCGGTATCGCGTCTCGCAGTCGTGGTCCCAGTCGACCTCAATCTCGCCGGAGGCGGGGTGGGGATCCAGGCTGCCATTCGTGGCAATCTCAGCGAGCTTGGCCGCCTTGGAGGTGTCGTAGCAGAGGAGCCTCAACCAGGGGTCAGAGCCGGAGGAGGCAAGGAACTGAACGCGCTGGCGGAGGATGGGCGAGAGAAGCGGGAGGACTGTTGAGGCGGGTTCGCTCGATACGGCGGCCGCTGTGAGGGCGGGAATGAGGGGGGAGAGGAGGGTCGAGACGGCAGGACTTGGGGTCCCCGAAGGTTTTGTGACGGCCATCGAGATTGGGTGGGAGCTCGAGGGCATGGATTAAGGGTAAGAAGTGGTATTAGACGTTGAGATGAACGAGTTTTTCACCCGATATCCCGTGTGGTTGGGCTCGATTGTTGGCGGGTGAGATGTCGGCTTCCTCTCTCCCACGTGGCGTAGCTGTCGAATGCAGCTCGTCGTCGACTGGCTGGGGAGGATTCCTGTCTCAGATTCTGTGGTGAGGGGCGGAGAAAAAGAGACTCGACCTCATTAAAGTGCGGTGGTGGCGATGTTCCAGTGGCAGAGGAGGAAGGCAAGATTCATACTGCTGGCCGGACGGGAGACGGCTTATACGTATTATCTATGCCCAGATGGGGTTGATCCGGTCGGCCAGAGTACAGAGAAAGTAGGTAGGTAATAATTGCATGGATTGAGCCCTTGGAGTACTAGCACATGCGGTGGTGCAGTTGGTGGATGTGGGCTGTATAATTGCATGCGCAGTAGGTTGCATCGCTGGTGGGGTCTGAGCTCGGAGGAAGGGAAGCCCTCCACTAAGCCTTCAACGTCACTAACCCGCCCATCCACCACGATGGCACACTGCTACTGTAGCAAGCAGAGCAAAGGCAGTCCCCTGTCGCCCGCCTTGGCTCGTAGGCACCTCTGACAGGCCAAATCGGGGTCCCCAGGCGCTCCAGCCCTCGAGATAGGCGGATCTGGGGTCATGCCGCAGCCAGTCACATGCGGCGAATTAGCACCTGGGCTCTCCGTTCACCCATGGATGACTGTGCTGGTGAGCCGTGAACCGAACCTCTGGGGTGTCATCGGGCCACGGTATTCTTCGGCATGTTCCTGGCTGCGGCCGGTAATTGGGAGGCCAGGCACCTCTGGATCCGTAACACAATGCAGAATACTAATACTACGGGTGACTGTCCACCGTGGATGATGCTGCACTGCCCAACTGTCCTGGCTGCAGGTCTCACCTTGGACTGTTCACCAGACCTTGTTATGATCCAGTGTTGGCCGTGCACCTGGCCCATGTCCGATCACATGTCTCCTCTCGGTGACAGAACTGGCTCCCAGCTTTCCAAGTGGATTTAATTGCCTACGCGACCTCCTGAGCTGCCAGAGTCGGAAATGACCTCTGCCTCAGTTTTTGAGCCCGCACCGCTGCAAGGCGGCGCCCCCGAAGAAAACATGACAACTGACGAGACTGGGCCATCCCACTCGCGGTGCACCGACTGATGCCAAGACATTGTGTGAATAAATAAACCGCCGATAAAAAAATCCCATCGGCTGTTTAAGCAAAGAGAGTTAGTCGGCCCACTCGATGGAGTCTGTTGCAGGTTGTCTCAAACAAAGGACGAAGTTAATACTCCAAATAATGAGGGCAAACATTCATTGAACTTTAGGGGAGTTCCCATTGGCTCGATTCTCAAGAGATCTGATCTTCGCTACAACGTTACTACCTGAGATTTATACGAAGATGTCAAGCACCGGAAACCTGATTTCCCCCAAGCACAGAGACGCCGGGCTGCTGAATCAATTAACCGCAGGATTTGATCAAAATAAGGGACCTGCGCTATCCGCCGAGGTCGGAGTAACAATACAGCGAGTGCCTGGTGCTAAGTCTAAATCGAATGCGCCGTGTCCAGCCGCTAGAAAGCGGACAGGGGCCTAATCGCTGATCAAGAGCAATCTTATCGTCATATGTGGGGGGGGCTTTTTCTAGGGAGCCGGGGATTTTTTTTAGCCCAGATGCTGAATCAAGATCAACCCCCATCACCTTGCCTTCGTCGATAGTCAAGAACGTCCATTGTCGTTGATTCTGCTTCGGCGAGACGCTAGGTGCTGATAGGGTTTACACTGCGGCCCCCGGACTATGTGAAGCTGGGTGTCTGAGCTGAAGCGAGCCACGTACTGGAACCCCCGAATCATTGCGACCTGACCCTCGCTCCGACACCGCTAAACTGAACCCTAAGTTCGTCCGCTCAGGGCTGAGGCGATTGATTGTATGTCAGCCAGTGTGGTTCCTCTCAAAGATGAAGGCACCAGACTTCAAGTCGTGTCTGCCGGCGCCATAGCTGGTTTGATATCTCGGTGAGCCACCTCTTATTGAATCTTACATCCCCTATGCTATGCTCATCTAACCCCCCTTTTCTCCTCCTAGCTTCATCATCGCACCTCTAGACGTCGTCAAGATTCGCCTGCAACTGCAGCCGCATTCTCTCACCGACCCTCTCGAACCCCTCCGCGATGCCCCCGCCTACCGAGGCGCCGTCGCGACGGTAAAGCACATTCTCAAGCATGAAGGGATCACGGGTCTGTGGAAGGGCAACGTCCCCGCCGAGATCATGTACGTCTGCTACGCATCCATACAGTTCGGGACCTACCGTGCCACGACGATGGCCCTGCAGAGCGCCTTTGCCGACAACAGACTCCCCGGCGCCGCCGAGAGCTTCATCGCGGGAGCGTCTGCGGGCGCCGTGGCGACAACCTGCACATACCCGCTCGACCTCCTCAGGACGCGGTTCGCCGCGCAGGGGAGGCACAGGATATATAGCTCGCTGTGGGGCGCCATCTCGAGCATCAAGCGCGAGGAGGGGGTGAAGGGCTTCTTCCGCGGCATCGGCCCCGGCGTGGGGCAGATCGTCCCCTCTATGGGCATCTTCTTCCTCACATACGAGCAGCTGCGGCTGGCCCTGAGCAAGTACAACCTGCCCTGGGGCGGCGGCGACGCGACCGCGGGGATGGTGGGGAGCGTCGTGGCCAAGACGACCGTGTTCCCCCTCGACCTCGTGCGGAAGCGCATCCAGGTCCAGGGCCCGACGCGGATGCGGTACGTGTACGGCAACATCCCTGAGTACGGGAGCGCGCGGAAGGCGCTCGTCACCATTGCCCGCACCGAGGGCTTCAGGGGCCTGTTCAAGGGCTTGCCGATTAGCCTGATAAAGTCGGCGCCGGCCAGCGCCGTCACGGTCTGGACGTATGAGAGGGCGTTGGGGTTGTTGATCAGCATGGACGAGAAGAAGGATATGTGATAATGATACCCGGAGAAAGGTGCACTTGGACGGAAAAGTTCTCTTGCCTTTTTTTCTCTAGTTCCTGTATGTACGATATGGATGGCCATCTATATAGAGTTCTAATTTAATTCCGCGCTCAACACCCAAGAGCAAATAAAACGATGTCGTCGGTTTCCCTTGGGAGCAGCCGCTGTCCAACTTTTCTCAGCCTTACCTTCCAAGGGCCTTGTTTGCTTCGTCCGCGCGCTCAACGCATTCCTCGATGACCTCCCAGAACTTCTTCACATCGCATGAACGTGGGATTCGGATGCCCTCTGAGCCAGCTGGGAGCTCCTTGGCGATGGTTCGGCCAGTCTCCTTGACCTGCGCCTCCTCAAACGTTCCCTCGGTGACCACAGACACCTCGAAGCGTTCGTGGTGCTCGGGGGCCGTGCTCTTGGCGGCGTCCCAGTCGTAGAAAGGAATCTCATCTGGCGTGCCGATGAGCACGGCGGCCGCTGCCAGAGGGTCATGCAAGGGTGGACCCTCGGTGATGCCAAACTTGTCACTTTATTTTATAGTTTAGTTAGCTCACCGATCACAAAAGGTCTAGTCTAACGGCGGGAGAGCCATTGTCGAAGATCTACGAATTAAGATTCGGGAAACTTACGCATAGCCCTTGGCGAAGAAGTAGAGGAGCTCGACGAGCATAGTGCGCAGCTTCGTCTTCCCGGGGCCAGTCTGCTCCCCGTCCTTGCCGTAGAGGAGCATCTGGCGGACCTCGGCGGTAGCGAGGACCTGGTGTGTCAAGTCCAGGGGGATCAGCGTCGTCTTGGGGGCAAGCTCCTTGTTGCTGAAGAGCTCCGACGCCGCCTCGGGGTCGACGAGGATGTTGAACTCGGCGTAGGGGGTCCAGTTGCCGATGCGGGGCTTGCCGTCGATGACGCCGAGGGGCGCGTCCGTGAAGCCGCCCCCGATGGCACCTCCCATGACGCTGAAGCCCTTGACGTGCGAGGCCAGCTCCGGGTGCTTGCGGATCAGGGCGCCCACGTTGGTGACGGTGCCCGTGGCCACAATCCAGGCGGTGCCTGCTGGCTGGGCCTTGAGGGCGGCGGCCATGGCCTCGACGGCGGGGACGGGCGACACCTCGCTCAGGGGCTTGGGGAGGAGCTCAGTGCCATCGAGACCAGACTCGCCGTGGATGTCCGTGGGGGCGTGGAGGGCTGGGCGCTCGAGGGCCTTGTCTAGGCCGACGTGGATGGAGATTTCCTTCTCTTTGCCGATGGCTGTGATGAGGGAGCGGGCATTGTAAGTTGTGTTCCTGTTCGATTGGTCAGCTTGCGAAGATTTTTCTTGTGCGGTTGGGTTGTCGTGATACACACTTTAAGGAGGCATTGCCAAACACGGTGGAGATTCCCAAGAGCTTGATCCGGGGATGATACGCTGCGAGAAGGATGGCGAAGGCGTCCTAGGCACTGGTTTAGCATGGCTGACGTTGATTATTCCCAGCAAGGATCTGATTGTGATGCTGAATTACGCATGAACCGCGAGCTCAATCCCAACTATTTGGGATCCAGGTTCGGCGTCGTGATATTGTTTGGGAGCACTAAGTAGGTAGGCACGGTGGGAGATAACAGGACGGACAACTTACATCGTGACCAGGGTCACAGTCAAGCCAGACGGGAATTTGAGAAGTCATGTTCTAGGCTCTATTTTATTACGCTGTCGTTGCTATAAGATTGATTGGTTGAGGCTCCGTGAATCCAGGTGACAGGTAACAGGGAACGTGTCAGCTCAGGAACGGTGTTGGCAAGACGAGGATGAGATTGAGGGGTGAGACGAGACCGACTGGTTGGGTCAGGGCAGTCAGTTATTTGCGACGTTGCCCGCCGGGTTCCGTCTCTGGGCCGTGGATCTTGGTGGGGTTCGCTTGTGCCCCTCATCTCGCTCCTTCAAGTGCCCACCTCCGGACTCGCTCACGCTATGGCCTATCAATGCGGGCTGGCATTTGGCTCATTCATGCGTGGGTATTATCTTCAACTCGGAGCCTATCTCTTGGCATGGCTGATAAAACATATAACACACCGGGCGTGCATCTTCGAGATACCAATTGACCACCAGCTGTTGGACAGGCTCACTCGTTAGTCCATACAGTTCTCATCCAATCTCCCAACATTACACCTGTTCATGACTTCTTCCGCTGCTCCATCACCCGCAGCACATCAGCAGCGCTGTTCGCGTCGCCTGTCCGCTTCTTCGGACCCCTTTTCCTCTTGGACTTCCCGCCCCTTGAACCATCACCTTCACCGCCATCGCCGTCCCACGCCGATAGCTTGACTTTGGAGTCGCCAAAGTCCTCCTCATCCTCGAATCGGCTGGTACCAAAGCCCATATCGAGATCCTCATCATCTCTGTTGGATACTTGCAACATCTGTCGCCGTCGTTCTTCTCTGGCCTTCCTCTCCTCGGCTTCCAGATCCTCCTCCTCATCAGACCCTTCTTCCTTATCTGCTGTTGACTTCTTGATAGCTGCAGCTCTTTTGATTGCGGCCATGATAGCAGGATCTGACATTGATGGCGCCTTGGTGGATTCTGAAGATAGCAACCCTGTTTTGGCGCCTTTGAAATAGTCTGTTTTTGCTTTGGCTTCCGGTCTCGGCAGAGCCTCTCCTTCTGTAGACGCTGCTCGTACTTCCGCTGTTTCTTCGCCCTCTGCCTCTGTTCTCTTTTCTCGTTTCGGCTTGGACTCGTCGTCCTCAGAGTCGGACTCGGAGTCTGAGTCGTCCATCCCAGCCAAGGGATCGTAGTCGTCGCCCACGCCCTCGAAAATGTCCATATCTTCATCTTCCTGAGGCTCTTCTTCCTGTTTCTGGTATTGCTCGGGAACCTCCATCCCCAAGGGCTTAGCATTTGTGTCTGGCATTAGGAGGTCGCTCTTTTCCTCAGTCTGACCTGGTGCCAACTTCCGCACCTTTCTTTTCTCGTGCCCATCCGCGTCCACAATGATGAGAACCTCCCGTCCCTTGCTGTCGATTTCCATTCGTGTCCCGGGTTCCTTTTTGCCGCCGATTTTGCGAAACCGATCACCCAAAGCCGGCGCCTGGCTGGCTTTAGCGGCTGCCCGTGCAGCTTTAAGATCCGCAAGGATCTGATCGCGAGTTCGCTTCTTTCCCGGCGCTAGAGAAACTGTAGAGAGTTGACCCTTCTTCTTTTCGGCCTTTTCCTTCTCGACCGCCACAACGTCCTGCTGCTCAAGCTCATCGAATGCGTCATCCATGTCGTTTTGTTCCTCACCGGCCTCCTTGTGAGCCTCTGCTGGCTTCCCCGAGTAGATATCCTCTCCCTGCTTTATTCTCTTTAGGAGCTTGAAGTCCAGGCCTTTCACGAGATGCGTGCTTTCGAGATCACCTCCAGCGATCTCGAATCGCATTTTGTCAAACGTCTCCTGGTCGATTTCCTCTTTCTTTAGCAACTCCTCTAGTGCCTTGATTCGCTCCTCGCGATCGTCCCCCTCTTGATCCGTTCGCTCCTTCGCTCGGTCGACGTAGCCGGAGGCGAGTTTGCTGCCTCTAGGGGCCGACGTCTTGTACTGTTTCTGAGGCTTGGTCGCATTATTGCGGTCAGCCAGCTGTCGCGCAAAGTCTGCTTGTGAGCCTCCGAGGACGCGTCTGAAAAACCCAATCGAGTCAGCTCAACTTTCACAATGCGATGCGCTCGAGGATATGTCCAACGTACGGTGTCATAGGGATGCTGCTCCGTTGCCGCGAACCCAGTGAGCTGCCAGCAGCAGCCGCTGGCCTGGATTTCGTAGAATCATCTTTGGATGACTTGCCGGATGAAGTGAGCACAAGCTTGCGAAACTGCTGGTTATTCATGGCGGTAGTCGGCGAGCCAGCAAAGCGCGCTGCAGAAGACCGGAGCAGAAATCCAAGAGCGGCTCTGAGCTAGGTTTCTCAGCCTTGGACCAGATGTGGCTAGTGATGGGTTACTTCTTCAAGGTTGCGACGAAATTACTGTGGCTCAAGAGCCGGTAGTCACGGGATGACGTGTGAAAGGCGCGCTCGACCGTGCTCCACTTTACGCGATACTCTCCCACTTGCACCGACAACTCGCCGCTGAAATTCACGATCGTGAACATCGCCCAGGGCAATGGCCGGTGGCTAGTAGTTTGGATTTTATCGAGAAGTTTTTGGAATACTCTTGTCTCTTGCTGAAAATGCGCATCTTTGCTTCTGGCTTCGTAATTTGACGAAAGCCCGTTATCCACCAGTCACGATGAGTAACGCTTTGGAGAAGAACTCGTCGGCAGTCCGGAAGCGGATTGAAAAGCATACCTTTACCGACGAGACCGGGGAGGAATATGATGGAAGTACCTTCAACGGATTTCCCGAGTACTTCCGGCGCAAGAAGATCAAGCTGCAGAATCTAGACGCCGAGATTCGCTCCCGGTCGGACAAACCACAGATCTTCAAGGGCATCGTGGCGCACGTCTCGGGATACACGCAGCCTCCTCTTCACATGTAAGCCGGATAATTTCGAACTTGTTCGTCGAGTTGGCGACTAACGCGACACAGCCTCCACAAGGAAATCGTCCAACATGGAGGGGGCTTTCTCCAGTACTTGGATTCGAAGACCATGGCAACTCACATCATCGCGTCATCACTTCCACCTAAGAAAACCGTGGACTGGGGTCGTTGTAGGATTGTGAAGCCTGCATGGATCGTAGATTCCATTGCTGCTGGGAAGTTGCTCTCTTGGACCGATTATCGTGTTATAGATGAAGGCCCCAGGCAGAAGGTCCTGGCTTTTGATGCCAGTGGGAGCATGACACAAACCACCCCGAAGCCAAGAGAGACGTATAGAGAGCATACAGAAAACAGCTTCTATTCGATGCAACTAAAGAACTCCCCAGAGATGAGCGCCGCCTTGAGCCAAGCTGTTGCAAAGGCATCAAGGCAGCCAGCCACCCCATCAAAGCTACAAAGCCTCGCCCTAGAGAATCCTCCAATCGAATCTACGGTTCATGTGGGAGATCCACCACTAGATACCGTTGCAGAAAATATTGATTCGGGACCAGCCAAACCCCCAGCTCTAGAATTACCCGAGGAGACCAAGCCCAAGCTCTCCGGGCCTCCCCAGAACGCTACATCTGAGGAACACAATGCTTGGCTGCTTTCGGACCCACGAATACGAAAGTCGTCGACGGCAAACCCAGAATTTCTGAAGCAATATTATTCCGAAAGCCGGCTGCATCACTTGTCTACATGGAAATCGGAGCTCAAATCCAAGATGCAAAAACTGGCTGCTGAGAAATCACAGACCGGTAAAGCGGGAAAGAGACCCGTAGGATCAAGAAGGTATATTTTGCACGTCGATTTTGATAGCTTTTTTTGCGCTGTGTCATTGAAGAAGCACCCCGAGTTGGTAGATAAACCCGTGGCCGTTGCTCATGGCCAGGGATCCGGCTCAGAAATCGCAAGCTGCAACTACCCTGCTCGAGAATTCGGGGTCAGGAATGGAATGTGGATGAAAAGAGCACACGAGCTCTGCAGTGACCTCAGGGTCCTCCCTTATGACTTTCCTGGATATGAAGCCGCAAGTCAACTTTTCTATGAAGCTATTATCGAGACTGGAGGCTTGATTCAAAGTGTTAGCATCGATGAGTGCCTCATCGATGTCTCTGCCCTCGTATACAGCGCAATGGGGTCTAATGGCCAAGGTGCGGACGAGGACACTATAGGAAGAGAACAGGCACATGCGGATGAGATCGCGACATCCATAAGAGCCAGGATCAAGGAAAAGACGGAATGCAATGTGTCCGTTGGTGTTGGCGCAAATATCCTCCAAGCCAAAGTTGCTCTAAGAAAGGCAAAGCCTGCGGGACAGTATCAGCTGAAACCCGCTGACGTTTTGGATATGATTGGAGAACTCAAGGTTGAGCAGTTGCCAGGGGTTGCGCGTAGTATTAGCGGCAAGCTGGAGGATGTTGGCGTCAAGCTTGTGAAGGATTTGCGTGCTCTCTCCCGGGAACGCCTCTCTTCTGTTCTGGGCCCAAAGACTGGAGAGAAGCTTTGGGAGTACTCTCGCGGCATCGATAAGACTGAGGTTGGGGAGCAGCCTCCCCGGAAATCTGTGTCTGCTGAGATAAATTGGGGTATTCGATTCCTCAGCCAACCCGAGGCTGAGGAATTCGTTTACAATCTATGCAAGGAGCTTGAAAGGCGGCTTTTGAATGAGCAGGTCAAGGGGCGACAGCTGACCGTAAAGATTATGCGGAGATCGCTCGACGCACCTCTCGACCCGGCCAAACACCTTGGGCATGGCAAATGTGACACTTTCAATAAAAGTGTTTCCTTTGGAGTTTCCACGAACAACTACGAGACAATCGGTAAAGAGGCAGTCTCAGTCCTCCGAACCTTTGGCTTCAGTCCTGGAGACCTTCGTGGGCTTGGTGTTCAAATGACAAAACTTGAGCCTATCAAGACAAACCCCTCTGCGCCTGAAGGCAGTCAGCGGAAACTTCCGTTCAGTGCCTTTAAAGGCCCACCCCCTAGCTCTAGACGTCCTCAAACGGAAGCCATTGAGGAAGTCGAGAGCCCTGAGAAACCCAGTCGGCAAGGCGAGAGGGATCCTATTACTGAAGAGCCAAACACGCCCTCGAAGTCAAAGATACACCCAGCGATGGTATTGACGAAAGCTGCAGAAGAAGACACCAAAGCAACAACCCCTTTGAATGTGTCAGGTACACAATTCCTGTTGCCAAGTAGCGTGGATCCCTCAGTATTTGCCGAACTCCCTAAGGATATCCGAAGTCGGTTAATGGCACAGCGTCCAGCAAGTAGTCGGCAGGCGTCCCCCATTACCAAATCTAGCACGACAGCTATGAACTTTTTCTCTTCTCAGATTGACACAGATGTGTTCAATGCACTTCCCGACGATATGAAGGCCGAGGTGTTGGCAACATATGGGCGCAATCAGGCGCAGCCTCCTGCCTATCACTCACCAAGAAAGGATAAGTCATCCCATCCATTCAAACCGGCTACGCCAACAAAGCAAGGGGGGCGGGCACGCAATTTATTCGGGAAATCCGAGCTCAAGAAAGATGCCCAGGCTGGTTTGATCCAGACCAGTTTCATGGACATCCAAGCTGGCAGTGAGGACCCACAGGGAGGCACTGTAGAGGATATGGATCCCGAGTTTCTCGCTGGACTCCCAGAGTCAATACGGAAAGAGGTCATGGAGGATCATAGGCGACTACGGCTGGCGCAGAAATCCGGGTTGGAAGCCCCCATGCTACATGGGCAGAAGCTATCAGATCCAGATGCGGAGAGTCTAGTTGAGGAAGCACAGATACAATTCCCTCCACCACGGCCACAGATTCCGTTCGGCAAGTCTGGTGTCTCGTCGGTGCAACAGATCAAGGACATGTTGGATGCCTGGCATGCAGAGACACAAGTGGACGGCCCACACGATGGTGATGTGGAGGTATTTCAGAAGTATCTAGTCGGCGTCGTCCAGGAAGAACGGGACCTGAAGAAAGTCCTGAAGCTGATCAAATGGCTGGAAGTTTTGATCGAGCAGGAAGAGGCAAAAAGCCAACCCAAAGGAAAAGAGGCTTGGCAACGGTCGCTTGCACAGATAAAGAAGGCAGTCCAAGGGGCGATTCGAAAGCGAGGGTTACTTCCATTGAAGCTTTGAACTCGCCCCCAAATTGATTCATCCGATTATAAACATCTCGCGATAGTTCCTATTCTAGGTCTATAGCTCAGAGCAGTCTGGGCGTGTCGTTGCTGGCCTCATCTTGGTTGCATGGGTTCTCTTCTTTGCACCTCATCCAACTTCCACTTCTCGCCTAGGTGTCTCGGGGTCCAGGCCTGGTCTAGGCCATAAACGGACTTGGCGGCCTTGGTTATCTTCACAGTTGAGAAGCTACTTTGTGCTAAAAGCCACTGGAAGGCTGATGTCTGAAAGCAGCAGAGGCGCTCAATCCATTACGTACAGTAGTTGCGCCCCTGGCTATCAAACACCCGCCGCTGTGTTCCTCCCTCCCGACATCACTGTATCGACAATTGAGTGTGTATTGTTTAATTAATTGCCAGCTACAGGCCTACAGCAGGGGAGAATCGGCTGATGAAGAAAAGCTGCGATAAGCACAACCCTAGTCCATGCGCATCTGTCCTTCTCCTCAGCGAGCGGAAAATGAGGGGTGGGGCTCCATCGCTCTCCCCCACACGAGGCGTAGCGCAGAGTCTGCAAGCCAATGGAATCAGTGGATTACCTTCTAGACTTCGTCGGTCGGTCGCTGCCTTCCAGCCTGTCCGCCACGGAAAGATCTCAACCCCGTTCTCCTCCTCTGTGTCTCGCCACCTTTACCTGTTCTTCTTCGTGAGCCTCCTCAAAATCTTGTAGGAGCTGTCCCAATTGGTGTACGCCTTCTACTACTCGTCCATCGTTCAACTGCGGCGACAACCCCGGACCTACCAGCGCGCGCGCCACTTTTGATCTCTCCACCTCTTACTCGCGACACAACCTGCCCATCATGAGCTCCTGGATTGACTGGTCAAAGACCACCAAGTCCAAGAATTACCATGGATCTGGATCATTTGCTACTGCCATGATTATTGGCCGTATGTTCTCGGTTCCCTTGGCACTGGCCAGCGTATCACGAACAGACAGCTAACCCCTCTTATAGCCACCTGTTTCTTCCTGGGTATTCTCTTCGCGCAGTTTCCCTATGACTTCCCCCTCCTCTGGAGCAAGGTGGACATCGCACCCGAGTACCTTGACCAGTTGGAGGTACATCTCAAGTTCATGTTCGACTCGCCGCCCATCATCAACCGCATTCTGCACATCACCGTTGGTATCGCATTCCTCGGTCTCTTCGTCAAGATGTATCGCCCGAGCGAGGCCAACTTCCTCTTCGACGGAGCCTCCATCATCCTGTACCTCATCGCCGTCGCCGTCTATATCTCCAACACCATCAAGGGTCTCCGCGCCGTCAGTGATGGTATCTGGAACAGCCCCGAGTGGGAGTCGACTCGCGAGGGCCGTTTTGCTGGTGAGATGATTCTCGGTCGCGAGGACAGCCTCAAGGTCCTCTCTGCCAGCAACACCATCCTCGCCCTTGTCCTCATCGGTGTCCTGGTACTCCAGTCCGGCCAGTGGTATGCCGAGCAGAAGGACCACACCGAGGAGGCCCAGCCTGAGCAACCCAAGGAGGCCGAGACCAAGGCCTCCAACAAGAAGAAGCAGTAAGCTTGGGTGCCTTGCACGGGTAATCCTAGCTTGGGCTTGAACCTAGCCAACTGTTTTCCGGAGCCGGAGCTTTGGAAAGGGCATTGTAGTTCTTTGGAATAACTTTATTTATACCATGTCATATATGAAGGCCCAATGTACGTGTTTCGGTTGGAATGATCGCCAAGATGACATAGAGAGCTTCTGGGGCGATCCCCGGTGAGATAATTCGTTTATAGCAGAATGTTAATCCCACAGGAAATTAATTATCATCATCTGGAAGGGTCCTATTTCATCCATCAAAGACCTGTGATATCCAAGACCGACTTTCATGTTTCTGTTTAAGATGCTATAATTGGTAGCGTAAGAGTAACAATGAGAGGAGAAATCCTGGTGCAATGAATGTCATGCAGATTATAGGCCGTTATTCGATGGATTCTGCGGAGCAAGGGGAAGACGGGATCACATCCATTGCAGTTGGGTCGTGGACTATCTGCCGTAAGAGCCATATGCCTCTAGGCAAGAGAAGAAAAAGAAAGCAAGACGCGTGATGCCGAAGACAGCCAATGGAGAACAGTGCTCACCTCCCAATCCTGACACATGCATCCGTCCCACGGGTCTATGCAGTGGATCTGGCTGATGCTCCCGCACCTTTATTACCCACTACGTCTACTCCCGTGTTCCGTGTCAGTACGTAACAGGTTTCTGAAGCTCGTTCAGCATGAGGGCCCAGCTGCTGAATGCCCAATGAATATGCCTACATGCCCAGCTAGAAAAGGCAGATGACTCACAGCAGATTGAGACATCAAAGCTAGTAGGCTAGGTACATGCTCTCATTGGCACCATCTTCACATCATCTCAGACATGCTCCCAGCTTACAAGGGACATCCGAAGTCGCGTCAGCTCTCTATGCCTCGGCAGTTGTCCGAAACTCCCCATCCCCCTAACTACCGGCTCATCTGCACACGGCACTCGCTACAGCGACACTGCTGTCGGGTCGCTCGACATATGGTTTCCGCGTATGCCAACTTGTAGATGTGCTCGGAAGACACAGACTTGATGTATCATACAGAGTATGTCTCACCGCCAGGGTTGGAACAATTTCGGCATTCCTTGCATCCTGCGATCTCCCTCCTTCCCTTTCGCTCTTCTCAGCCCCCTCCCTCCATCCAGCCGAGCGTACCTTAGTAGTTTTGCGTGCGAGATGAGGCCTTTTGACGAGGATCGTAGGGTGACATGCCGCGTCAATAACCAGCATGTCCATGCAGCTAAAGAGGGTCCGGCTGAGGATGTCCTGCAAGTTTTCCTTATCAATCAGTGATTTCCTCGCCAAAAGAAAAAAAATTCTCCACCATCTAAAAAAAAAACCGGAACCGTCACCGCCCGACTCCCACTTCTGGATGCGCTAGAGATGCCCCGCGGCTCGCTCCAGCCTGTGACAGGACGGGCACCAGCCTAATTTCGTGCTTCCAACTTGTTTCCCCCTCTCCTGCTTTTTTTCCTTTTTCCCTTTCTTCCCATTATTTATCTCATCTCTCTCGGACCTTTTGCTGGCTGCATGGCTGAGGGTTATCCCTCATCCCAACAAAAGCCTGTTTGACCTGGGCCGTTGTTTTTGACCGTTTTCCCACAAAGGACCCGAGCGACAGAGCATGGAAACCAGCCAGCTTGCGATCGAGCCTGTCCAGGCCCCTGCCGAAATGTCTCTCAAACCCCAGGCCGCGGCCATGGAGGCCATTGAGGACGTGACATATGGCTCGGTATGAGCGTTTTCCCCCCTCCTCCCTACCAGTGGTGGCTGGGCCCGAGATCGGCGGGGTTTTTAGACTTCCCAAAATATGTTGCGATGGCTAACGAAGGCGTCGCGTCGTTCCCCCCAGATTGCTGGCATCGTCGGCAAGTATATCGAGTACCCTTTCGACACGGTCAAAGTACGACTCCAGAGCCAGCCCGACCACCTGCCGCTGCGATACACCGGCCCGCTCGACTGCTTCCGGCAGTCGCTCAAGGCCGACGGCATCAGGGGCCTCTACCGGGGCATCACCGCGCCCCTGGTGGGCGCCGCCGCCGAGAACAGCTGCCTCTTCATGTTCGAGAGCGTGGGTCGGGAAGCCATGTTCTCGATCGGCTGGGCCTCGCGCCGGGACGGGCTCTCCCTCCCGCAGCTCTACCTCACGGGAGCCTTCGCGGGCGCCTTCGCCTCCCTCGCGCTGACGCCCATCGAGCTGGTCAAGTGCAAGATCCAGGCCCCGGCCGGTGGCGCCCCGGCGCTGCGACCCGTGGCCGTCATACGGAGCATCTTCCGCCACGGGGGCATCATGGGGTTCTGGCACGGGCAGATGGGCACGCTAATCAGGGAGACGGGCGGCAGCGCGGCCTGGTTCGGCGCCAAGGAGACCACCACGGCGCTGTTCAGGGAGCAGAGGCTCAAGTCTGTGACGTCGCAGGCTGAGAGGGAGGCGCTGGCGACGACGCCGTTGCCCTTCTGGCAGCAGGCCATTGCGGGCGCCTCTGCCGGCATCGCGTACAATTTCCTCTTCTTCCCTGCGGATACGATCAAGTCCCGCATGCAGACGATGCCTCTCGGCGGCTCTCATGTCAAGCGCACGTTCTGGAGCGAGGGTGTCGCTGTGTGGAAGCAGCATGGGCTGAAGGGGATGTACCGAGGTTGTGGGATTACATGCCTTCGGTCCGCACCCAGCTCGGCATTTATCTTTATGGTTTATGATGGCCTGAAGAGGCATTTACCAATGCATTAATGAAAGTAAAGGTCGAAGCGATAGAGGAAACGAAAGCAAACCCCGGCCCAGACTAGAACTGGGCCTGATACATGACATACGGCATTGGACCAGGCTTCCTCAATTTTTTTTATTCCGTTAATATATATTTACTCGTGGGAAAGGGACAGAGGAATCATTCAACTACAAAGCATGTTGATTTCGGTTATAGAGAAAATTCTTGAATGGGAAAAAGCGATTTTGAAACGGTATATGATACATGCTAGGCAATGCCTTCCGTCTTCACTGCTGCGGGATGCATAGCAGCCCCACGAATAAGAGTGTGAGTCTCATCCATCTCTTGGCGAACCAGCGGCCTGAAACCTTTCCTAAATGACGGCGAGACATGGGCACCTAAATCTCCGTGGTCTCTCTATCCTTCTTGCCAGGCGGCTTGGTATTCTCATAATTCATGGCATGCAGGTCCCAGTTGTTCAGATAACCCACTCCAGCGCAGAGATATGTTGCAAAGCTCAACCACCCAAGGTAGGGAATCTGGCAGTATGCAGCGACCGCATCGATGGGGTGCCAGAGGTATGTCAGGTAGGCATTGACGCCCAGAAGACTGACGATGTCTACAGTGGCGAGAGCAGGGAGCTTGGCGGCGAAGAAGAGGGGCATCCAGACAAGATTGAGACCAAGCTGGATAGTGTATAGGGTCATTGTGTGCTTGGTGGTGCGGATGGTGTCAGGGGATGAAAAGGGCGACAACCCCTTGAAGGTTGCGCGATAAGCAGCATATCCCATCATCCTATATGATTGATAAGCGATTGATCGAAAGGGGGAAGATATAATGGAGAGGTTCATCGCACCCGTAGAGGACCGTCCAGACTGGGCCGAACAACCATGGTGGTGGGCGCAGAGGGGGCTGCTTCAACCGGAGGTATGTCTTTTGAGTGCCAGCTCCTGCAGAGGAAGATTTGAATCCGTGTTAGAGCAAAGGACATCGCACCAGCTAGTTCAAATGTAGAAAAATGTGCACTTACGCCCAGTAGCATACCCAATCGATGTTCCCAGCACAACGGGAAGAAGGATCGATGCGGAGGGGTTGAGGAACACCTGCGAAGGGATGGTGATGGAAGGGATGTACGTTGTCATGACTGTTAAGTTTATCGATTTTCTACTTGAGGAATTCAATGTTAGAGGAAAATTCAACCCGGTCGTGGACGAAAAATAATCGTTCCGCTAAGGGAACTGATGGTTGTGGTTTCGAGCTGTCTAGACGCTGGGAAGCCTCAATGACGTAATGCATTTGAGACTTCTAAATTGGCAGTGGCTAGGCAAACCCGGACTTACCAATGTTGCAATTGTATAGGTAATTATTTGTGGCGGCTTGAAGAAGATGAATCAAAGGGAAAAATAGCAAATTGGCATTGTTTCCGTAAAATGTATTTAGGAGAACAACGGCCTCGTACGAGTTTTTAAACAATGCCTCGATACCCAGAGGTTGCGATTCTAGTAGCCATCGAAAAGTGTACGATCATCTCCAATTCCCATGTGCCGTGCTCTCCGTTCCGACGCGACTCCAGCCACGGTCAAGCCACGCGACTAGCTTGGTGGGGCCAAAGCTGAGGCTGGAGCTTCTCGAAATTAGCAGAGTGCACGGGCCACACAACGGGTGATTTAAAGTGGTCCCACTTAAAAAGGTCGCGAGAAACGCGTTTTCGGGTCGCGTCCAACACGTCCTCTCACCAGGGCGTTCGTGACGCTGGGTCTGCGCTCGCAACCGCGCCAACGGGCTAAAAACCCAGGCGCTTGCCAGGGCACAACCATTGCACTTTCTCCATCTTGTCCAACTCACAACAACCACCTTCCCGCATTTCAACACAACTGTATAATTCACTCATTGTTCTTGCTTCACATCCATTTGCATTGCATTTGTCATTTACTATTGTCCTTCCAACCTTAGGAAGCTGCAACCGCTATCCTCATGTCTCCCTCAACCTTAGGAAAGAGGACGAGGTCCGCCCTTGACATAGGTAGGTGCCATTAACCACAATCCAACAGAAGGAAGTAGTCACTTACCATTACTCCAGCCGACCTGCCATTACCACAGACTCCCAGTAAGCGAGCGAGGAGAAGTACGAAGCCCATCCTCTACAACGACGAGAACCAGGATCCCAACTCCATTGCCGAGGATGAGGACGAAGTGCCCCCTACTATCCGCAAGTCAGCATTGAAACTCAATCCAGTGACGCCCTCAACCCCTCGCCATCGCGATGTTTTCTCATCCCCCAATACTCCACGCCATGCGGTTATGTCCGCCGGCAAACTATTCAAGCGATTGACACCATCCACCCCTTTGTCTCCCTCGGCTATCCAGACAGTCTACCACAACGCTCGCCAGCTCTTCGCTCACGGGACGGAACCAGGCAAGCTGATTGGAAGGGAAACGGAACGGGCACAACTCTCCACCTTCCTCGATCGCTGCTCCCCTTCATCCGAGTCGCCACGCGGCTGCCTCTATGTGAGTGGTCCTCCAGGAACGGGCAAGAGCGCCATGATCACCGAGATCATGCAAGGATATACGAATCGGGAAGGCGTGCGTGCTTCCTACGTCAACTGCATGAGTATCAAATCCTCTAGGGATTTGTATAATACTCTGCTAGAGGAGTTGGGTTATGCCAGCGACTCATCGGAATCCGAAGCCGTATCAACTCTTCAGTCCATCTTCTGCCCCAAAACACAAGATTCATCTTCCGAGGTTTACCTGGTTACTTTGGATGAGATCGACCACATCTTGACCATGGGCCTGGAAAGTTTATACCGCATGTTTGAGTGGTCTCTTCAAAAATCATCAAGATTGGTTTTGATTGGAATTGCCAACGCACTCGACCTCACAGATCGATTCTTGCCGAGACTCAAGGCCAAGAACTTGAAGCCCGATCTGCTCCCTTTCCTTCCCTACACCGCAGTCCAGATCAAGCAGATCATCACTGGAAGGCTCAAGTCATTGATGCCCGAGGGCAAGGAGGGATACGTGCCCTTTGTTCACCCCGCCGCGATTGAGCTGTGCTCTCGCAAGGTGGCAAGCCAGACTGGTGACCTACGAAAGGCGTTTGAAATTTGCCGCCGGGCTCTGGACTTGATTGAGCAGGAAACAAGGTCAAAGCACGAGGACGAGGCGCGTGAACAACTCCTCCAGCTCACCCCGACGAAGAGGCCACTGGGTGAGAAGGTCAATGGCGCCTCTGGCAACGGCTCAAAGAGCATCGCACAGATTATGACCAGATCTCTCAAGTCATTGACGGCAGAGACGGCCCCCCGAGCATCGATCGGCCACCTCAACAAAGTCACAGCAGCAGCTTTCAGCAATGGAACAACACAAAGGCTAAAGACTCTTAATTTACAACAAAAAGCAGCTCTCTGTTCTTTGGTAGCTTTTGAGAGGCGCACCCGAGCTTTATTCACCAGTGCAAACGGGGCCACACCATCAAAGTCACAAACAATGGCGCCCACCATCAAAGCCCTGTTTGAGACTTATTGCCGCCTGTGCACTCGCGACTCAGTCTTGCACCCCTTGTCTGGATCCGAGTTTCGAGAGGTCGTTGGCAGTTTAGAGACTTTGGGATTAGTCAATGCGGTTGACGGTAAAAACGGCAGTTTTATTACGCCACAGACGCCAAGCAAACGCGGCAGGAAAACCACCACAGTGGCCAGTGGGGATGATAAGCGGATCGCCAGTGCGGTTGCAGAGAAGGATATGGAATCTATGGTCGATGGTATTGGCGCGGGTATTCTGCGAAGCATTCTCAGCGGTGAGGCGCTGGACTAATGACACACAAAGAAAACATAATGGCATAGCTTTTGTTTTAGTATTTTTTGTTTGGAAAAGGGAACGGCACGGGCATAATTGCATATACACAAGGGAAAGCATCTGGATCTCTAGTGTTTAGATCATGAAAGCTTGGCGTTTGGGGGATTACATTTTTGGATTTTTGCATGCCTTCAAGATGGCAGAGCGGACACGATTCCGCATTTTACACATAGAGTAAATGACGAGACGAAAAACTCGCTAATTCTTTCTGGACTTGGATACGATTCGCGAAGTGACCTGTTCGAAGAATAATGCTCAGCAGACGCACAGGGTGCCCAAATGGGACAGGTGCATTGCGTGGCCCCTTGAAGTGGATGTTATTGACCAGTGATTGGAAGAACAAAGACAGTGCTCGTATCCGTCAGCCTATTCATCGTCGCTGTTGGCCGATCGTGGTGATCCAAATCTAAAGCACTACACCGATGTTGCACTAGGTAAAAATTTTACTTCTCACAATCGGCCGTACATGGCCGTCAACACGAGGCGGCGCGAGGCCGAGAGTGACAGGCAGATGAAGACTTGGTACTTCCTACGGTAGCATACGCGACAGCCGATTGTCACCAACCAAGGCTCAGACAGCACTCTGCCCTGACGTATACAGAGGGGGCAGCATGCATGAGTTGCAGGGATTCGGAGTTTATTTATAGGCAAGGGACTAGCCCTACGTGGGCAGGGACATTGCCATGGCAAATATGGACCAGTCACAGGAAAAGTGATGGGCGGTTACCATGATACGACGCTCTTTGGCAGGCACCGGGAATACATGGCTCCTCGAATGGTCCTTTGGGTGAAATGGGGGAGCGGGTTGTGCTAAATCACGGTGGGTTGATGGTGGGCTGAAATAACAACGGGCCAGCCAATCAACAGATACGGCGTGGTGTATTCTGAGGCTCGCTCGGCCTCGCTCGGACCCCTTCTTGCTCAGCTGGCGCCGCAGTTGAATCAATTGGCGGTGTTGCTTTGTTCTAGGCCTCGAGGGCTGTTGGCCTCCTCTTCTCTTGTCTCTCCCATCCAAGCATCCAGACAGTCGATATCTTCTAAGCAGACCCGGACTCTCGCTCCGGAGCACGGCCCTGGATCCCTTCCGTAACAGGAGTTGACAAGCTTTGCTTGGCGCGGACTCTACTCCTTGGCGTGTGTGGCTCTCGGACACGAGTGGCCGGGGAGGAGCGCAGCTAGAACTCCGACTAACACCAGGCTCGCGGCTGGAGTAGGACAGGACAGGCCACCGGCCCGCCCGAAGACTGTTCAGGCAGCTGGCAACACCACTGAGGGACTACCCATACCCATTACCAACCACGCTATTGCTGGAAGCGGCAGCACAGAAGGTGGGGAGAAGGCAAGGCAGACGAGGGTGCACCAGAAGAAGAAAAAGAACTGAACAAAGGAGGGGAGCGTCGGGCGACAAATCAGCGACAGCAACTTCAATCAATTACTTCCCCTCCTCCACAGGGATCCAGGGGCCCTTCGCGCTACAGTGGTTGCTAGCCTGTCGCGGCCGCCGCCACCACCACCACCAACAGGGCACCCCACTGTTGTCTCTCCCCGTCAAATAGTTCGGTGCCGCTACGACCGCCCTGCAGCCCACCTATCTACGGCAGCCAAACCCGGTGGTAGCCACAGAACGACCATCGACATCCTTCTACTTCACTTGAACAGACGCCCACCTGCACGCAAGAGAGCAGGCAAGCAGACGATTAAATTCAGCAGATCAACATAGTGCCGCCGCGATCAGAAAAGGGACTCTGACTGTGTGTGTTTCTTACAATCCCCGTTCCTGCGTTCGGCTCGCGGGTCCAGTCAACAGCGGGTAGTGCTAGTGAGTCTGGGGAGGATCAAGCTGGGCAGCACTCTTGCTTGGATGGCCCCGTCACCCGCGTTGCCCTCCTCGTCTACTTCCCAGGCGCACACATCCGTCGAGAACAGGCGAACAGCACCATCGCAACAGCAGCGCCGTGCCTCGCCGTCCTCCAGCGCGACCCCTCCTCTCATCGCCGACCACGCCGACACCTCGGCTACCGCAACTTCCGCCTCATCAGCCCACCCAACCACCATCGCGACACCAACACCCTCGGCCATCGCTGGTGGCCAGCACCACCGGCAGCAACGGCAGCGGTCGAACTCTCTTGCCACCTCACAGATGCCCTCCGCAACACCGTCGGGGATGAACGGCCGCTCGGTTCCATCGACGCTTTCTTTTGCTGGATCCACCACTCCTCGACCTTCCACAGCCCAGCCTGCAGGCGCCAACAACAACCACGCCTCAAGCAACGGTAATTCGAGTCCCTCGACCCCCAAGTCGTCCTCCTCCTCGCCGCGCGCCGACCCTCAAGCTGCGCCGCCCACCGCGAAGCCAACTTCCAGCAAGCGATTCTCCTCCATCCCACGCTTCTCTTCACTGTCCTCCCGATTCAGCCTCCCAATTACCCTCCGCAGCCGGAAAAACCATGTCGCAGACTTTCATATCCAGCCGCAGGAGCCTCATAAGAAGTATACTGCTGGTGAGAACGTCCGCGGGTCGGTGATTCTCGTTATTGTGAAGCCTATTCGCATCACCCATCTGACGGTCTCGCTCAACGGCTTTGCCCGCGTCCTCAAAGAGCCAGCGCTTAGCGCAAGCCCGCATGCTCTCCTACCATCCGGTGGCTCGGAGACCCCGCGGTATCACGGCCATGGCTTCGCCAGCATTTTCCAGGACGAGCAGGTGCTGAGCGGGGATGGCAGGCTGGAGCCCGGCAAATACGAATTTGGGTTCAATCTGGTATTTCCTGAAAGAGGGCTGCCAAGTAGCATTGACGTATGTTCCCCCTTTGCTTTGCGCTGTTGGTTTATATACTAGGCAGTTCCAGAGCTCTTCCGCTCCGGACTTAACGGATCGGGGCAAAATACTAGATGAAGACGGGCTAACATGGCACGCAGTTCGAACGAGGGTCAATTTCCTACCTAATTATGGCAACATTGACCAGACCGACATCGATGGCTGCTACAACCTCGTGCGACAGGAAGGTAACTCTAGTTGAGAAGGTCGATATTGGTCTTCTGGCACCGCCCCGCCCAAAGACGATTTTTCTAGAACCCATCTCGAAACGAGTCAAAAGAAGGAAATCGTTTGCTCCCGAGAAGGTCGTTCAAGCCACTACTCAGGAAGTGACCAATGACCTTGCCTCCGAAGTTGGCTCCGTTGCTCCATCCACAACAGCCGAAGATTTGAATCGTGACCGTGGGCTGGACCAGTCCGATATCCGTAGTGAGATCAGCGGTGAGAGTGGCCGGAGCGCAAGCACGGGCGGCTTGAGCCGGGCAGAGCTTGCCCAGGTTGCGACGGCCAATCAGCAAGTTGTGGATGACAAGACCATTACAGCAACTGTTGAGTTGCTGCGGGGGGGTTGTCTGCCTGGGGACACGGTCCCTGTACGCGTTACCGTTCAACATATCAAACGAATGAAGAGCATGGCTGGTGTCATTGTCACGTTATTCCGGCAGGGCAGAATTGACTCGGCTCCTCCCCCCGAACTCTTCTCGGCCGAACTGTCCAAGGAGGATAGGAAACGCGCGGACAAGAACGAGAGTTATCCCAAGTCTCGAACTGGGCTCGGGGGCTTGTCTATGTCCTCGTCGGGGTCCAAGAGCATTTTCCGCAAGGATCTGGATCAGAACTCTGCGCCTTTAATCATTCACCCGGCGACGTTGCATACTTCAGTCACAGTGTCGGTCAAAATCCCCGATGACTCGTTCCCCACGATCAAGGGCGTGCCCGGGAACATGATTGGATTCAAATACCAAGTTGAAGTAATCGTTGACTTGGGAGGCAAGTTGACAAATCAACTTCAAGGAAATCGGACGTCATCCAGGGTTGGGCAAAACAACGGTTGGTTCGAGAACGGGAATGCCTACGGTCCCAGGCGCGGAAGCTCTACCATCATTGATACCTCACCTCTGCGGAGAGAAAAGGGTGTCGTCTCAATGACGATAGAAACCATTGTTGGAACGGTGGATAGCTTACGTGGCAGAGGGAAACAGCGAACACAGAGACAGATGTCACCATCATCAGGTATAGCTCAGAGCGACGAAGACGAAGCATATTATACGGAACATAGCCAACCTGATGAAAATCACTGGGTGTCGCCGTCGCCCTTTGTTGGCAGCTACCCTCAGAATACCAATTTTGCTCCCCAGGCAGGCAATCAACCTTACTACGGAGCACCGCCGCCTACACTCCCCCAACAGCCACACGGACCTACAGCTCCTTCACAGCCATATCCTTATTCGGTGAACGGAGAAACCAATGGTGTCGGACACGTCCCAGCACCGGACTACATTCCCTCACCTCAGGTTCCCGATGAGCGGAACATGTCCGAAAAGGAGCGAATCCAGCTAGCGGAGAACAGGTTGCTTCCCAGCCAACCACCAGCCGCTGGCCCTTCATCTCCGCCAGATAATGAGGAGGAAAACATTTACGATGCAGACGAAACACCACGCTTGCCTCATGTCACTCCCAGCTTCCCTAACAGAGATTCAGAGGATAGCCCATCAGCCCCTACGGAAAGTGATCTACAGCCGCTTTCTCCAAGCGGCCCATCCCAAGACAAGCAAGAAATTGAGCGCGAGCGTCTACTAGCCGAGGCCAGCGCGCCCCAAATCCCCGAAGACTTGCAAAGACCCGATAGCACGTCAAGGCGGGATATGGCCCCCGACGCCGAGCCAAGCGCTCCCATGATCACGGAAGAGGACGAATATCGAGGGTACGGAGTTGGCGCGGGCCCTTCCAGAGCAAGAGATCACGGACTTCATAATGAACAACTACCAGCATATGAGCGATGAAAATACAAATACCTACAAATATACCTTCGTATTAACGATTTGATACACATTTTCCCAGTCCATCAGCATATACCAGGTTCTTACAAATCAAGCGGAGTGAAAGGGGGGGGGGCGGTTTGGCACGCGATATAGATAGGAGTTTTCCCTTATTTTTTTGATTGGATGAACTTTGGATGGTGCATTAAACCGACCTTGAGAGGTCGCATTCGGCGATGAGGTGTACCTCTGGCACAGGTGCCTTGCATGAATTCAACGACACAATGTATCTCTTTTTTCTATTATCACGCATGGTGGGCTTCGCCAGACTTTTGCCGCCTATTCTATTAATATTATTGTATACACAGAGCGCAAGACCGCACAGGCGCGCGCACATAGACAGATACCTAAAATTGAGCGGGGAGGGGCCAAGCATCCCGTCTGCGAACTCCAGGTTTCAACTTGGAAACGCGAGTTCACACAGCCTCCTCAACACCCTCTTCACCGGCATTTCTCTCTCCGTCTCCCTTTTTCTTAATGCTGCAGGACGACGGGCTTGCCCTGCTCCCAGTGATGCAGGGTGTCCCTGATGTTGACCCAGTACCGTAACCGCACGGCCTCGCGCTTGGCGGCGTCGATGTCGTCGTTGGCAAAAGCTGCGTCGAGAGCCTCCTCGCTGGCGGCTATGCGGGCGTCGTTGGCCTCGCGGGGTTGCTCGAGGTCGGCCTCGGACTCCGCGTCCTCGATCTCCTCGCGGGCCTCGAGGACGAGCATGAGCAAGGAGGGCTCCTCGACCTTGAGGGTCTCGTCGTTGGCGACGTCGACGCCGCGCAGGGCGAGGAGGTACTGGGCGCGGAGGAGGGGG